ACATCCTTGTTCCCGTGACTGTATAAAGACACCCCCAGATGCACACTGTTATATGAGGGGCAGTTGATGATAACCAGGGCTCGAGGCATCTATCATCAATAGCATCTTGTTGCGACGTTATGGATATTAGACAGTATTAACCAGCAAAACGTGTCGCATCTCTTCGCCGTGTCCATACACGGAACCTCGCGTACACTTGCATTGCAACCTCTGAGCAAACCCAAAAAGAGGACTCACGAGCTGGTCCTTGGCATGTCCATTGACGAGGCTGAGCCTCGTCTCCACACAGCTGCAAACCAATAAACCTTACTCGAGCTAGCCATCCAACATGGTGACGTAAATCACCTCATAGGAAGCAGTTGGGTCATATCCGAACTACTGTGTTCTAAACACCAAGACCATCCTCGAATTTCGCAGAAGTAAGGAAAACTCGCTTTCGGTTGATCGCCCTGGGGCCTTGACGATGGAACAGTGGCGGCAGACCGCCATCACCCAGGAAAGCGGGCAGGGCTAGAGGGTCGAGGATATCGAGTTCAGTGGCTTGTAGCCCTACGCTCCCAGCCCGGGGGCATTAAGATGTTCTTGACCCGGCTTTCATTACTACATTGAAGTGAGCTTCTGACAGGGTTAGATTGTCCCGGAAGCTATTCCGGCTACGAAATTCCTGTCACCTTAAACTCCATGGCCACACATGGTCATACTTTACCCTGCCTAGCAGAAGCAGCCAATCGCTTCAAGCAACGCGCCGGCACCACTCAAGCCAAACCATACACTCAGATATTCTCGGATGTTTACATATATACATTTTTAGATAGATCGCTCGCTCTCTGTCTCTCTCTCTCTCTCTCGCGTTCTATGTATGCATATGTATACATATGTATATGTACATACAAACACATTGGTACAACTACACATACTATGTCATTTACATTTCAGATTGTGCTTGATTGTTCGTGTTTGTGGTTACGTAGTTGCCACTAATTATGATTCAGAGTGAGCTGTTGTTACTATTCACAGTATGAGTGTGTTATCTTTCATATTTCATCATTGCTAGTCGTAGAAATGTTGGCGATTCCTGGAAACGATATGTTCATTTAAACAACGTTGCGATTCTGTAGTATTGTCTGGTGTTTCGCTACTACACGTATGATTGTTACTAGTATTGTGTGTAATTAGTATGTTTGTCACTGTTGTTGTTTCTGGTTGATGTTTTCTGGTCTTGCTAGTACTATGGTGATAGGTTGTTCGGTATTTAGTTGTCGACTCATGTGTTTTAACTGTGTGTTTGTTGAGCTTATTGTTGCTATTCTGTTGACATCTTTTGCGGCATGATGCTTGTGAACAGAAAGTGCTAAAGTTCTTTAATGCATGTAATTACCATAGCAGTTGTAATGACTACCACGATGACGATGATGCTTGTGGATGCTTCGGTGCTTATTGCCAGCATAGTAGCACACGTTTGTGTATATATATATATATGTGTGTGTGTGTGTGGTGCGCCCCCATCGATCAACTTTACATGCAGTTCGTTGTTCAAGGGCCGTGGGGTAGCGTATAGGGTTGAGGAAGCCTTCGCGAACTTATTGAGGAGAAAGCCTAACCGAAACAAACCTAACCGCAGGTATGCGGAGTTTGCCTTTAAGGGCCCAGGGTTAGGGGAACTGCTTACGGAAGCGCTGGCAAGATTAATTGAACAAAATCTAAACCGGAACAGCCTAACCGAGAAAGCCTGGCCTGCGACAAGACTCTCGATGTGTTTTTGTGTTTGTGGCTAGGTTTGTTCGGTTCGTGTTTTTCAGTTAGTTGTTTGCAAGGTGAGATTTGTTCTAATAAGTTTGTGAAGGCGTCCTTTCAAACCCTACACCCTAACCCACGGTCCTTGAAGACAGACCACAATCATGCCTTTTCAACAGCGCGTACCTGGGCCAGAACAAGTAATCTCTGGGGGCCAGATGCCCCTAAATTTCTTAACTCGAGCTCTTTATTTTTTAGTCAGAATTTTTGGGAATCTGAAGCAATCTGACCATTGACTGCTTGTATGGTGCTTAAGAAGTTCAACCAGTATGTAAGTCATTCGAAGTTGTATAAGCTAGCATTGGATTAGCAAAACAATTGTTTTCAACCAGCATGTAGTCGGTAGTTCAATATCAAAAACGAATATCTAATGTAGTAGTACTACAGTCGCTAAAACTCTGTTGATACATGCTTGATGTTCATAATTGGATTATGCAGGTCTAATCATTGGTTTAACAACAAAGGGAAAAGTAGGTCAGCTTTTCCTAGTAACTGTTTAAACATGAGGTTCACATGTGTACAAACCAGAAACATAGTTGGGAATGAGCATGAGGTTCACAGATTCACAGGTGTTGGCACAGAAGTAATTGCGAATGCAACTATTATACAATGTGTGTTCACTTCATGTTCATGCTTCTGTAGCAGATCTTTAACAGAGCTTCCTCATCATGTAGTTTAGGGTTCATAGTTCAGTGAGGACCAGTTAACATGAAGATACTGTTTACATGCGACTTCAATGACATCTGTTGGGTATCTAATCGACACCTGTTCGAATCCTTTCTTGTTGGGTATGACTATTGTAAGTTTCTGTATGCGTCGTCAACTGAAAAGCTCAAAGTTGGAGGAATATGTGCCCAGCAGAAAACATTTACATAAGCTTTAGTCTGAACTTCGCGATCACAGTTCAGTAGCTCAGCTTGATATACATATTCGTTGAATGCGCAATGTTCAGCTTTGCGAAAAGATTCTATTCTGTCTTATACAGAACACAAGATTCCAACCAGACCCCAAGTTATACCCATTTAGCATCTCATGTTGATACTTATCTGAATCAAAATTCCATTGCTATACTAGAATAAATTTCAGATCTACGTGGTATATAACAACAAATGACTGCTTATTCACGTTTGAGCATGGAAAATGTTGACATGCTACAGCATGCTATAACCATATAGCTGATTGCTAACCAGTGTTCCTTTAGCACCCTTTTGTAAGGTAAACAGCATTTCTGTAATATTAGACAAAATGTCTAGCTCATCTCCCATGAATGCCTCGCTAGTGTGCAAACACCATTCGAACCCGCCTTATTGGGGTTTATGTAAACAGCATTTTAGTCACTGGTGAATCCTTCATTCACAGGTTCGATTTGCTTTTCACCCCTTCATGAATGAAATTGGCAGTAGCTACTACCTAAGCATGAAACAGACTCAACTGCTGCTTGTTTCTCGTTGTAAGACTGCAATAAGCTAGCTGTTTCCAGTGTTGAAGATTGGATGATCATGAGTATGTTCTGTGAAACAAGGCACCATTAGCTATTCAACAAAGGAAGGTCCAGTATCAACATTAATTTTGATGGCAACAAAAGCACATGTACCGTAGTTGCTAACTGAATATCTAGGAACTTATACTTATGCCCTTCACATGAGCACCCAGTAGGCCAAAGACTCTGAACTATTCAATTAACACTGATGTACTACTGACTGCATATTCAAGCTTACAGGAACAAAATGGTTACTACACCACGAGTTCGCAGGTATTATACTGGCAAACCTTGCATTCGTGCGTCAAATGCTTAGTCCTCGAGTGCTGTCATTGCACGTATGTGCGGCGTTGTATGTCTTCTCGACACACATTCGTACTCGGCGTTCATATACGTGCTTCGGCCTGCATTGGCTAGAAGAGTACACTGCAAGCTATGTGGTAGGGTCGAAATGGTGGATCCTTGCAGGGGAGGGGGGTAGCACAGAGATGCATAGACATATGTATGCATATATATATATATACATATAGACCTCTCTCGCTCTCTCTCGATGTTTCTGTATATTCACAGGTCATACGGAATGCGCAGCCCGTCGATACCATTAGCCTTGCAAGGAGAACTACCAGAAGGTGGCTGAGGAGTCAGATGTCCAGCAGCTGATGGAAGTCCTCCAGGATTTACTGGCTCAGGGCGGTGGCCCCTTGCGCCAGGCAGCCGTTGCCAGCGATGGTGGCAAGCTTGTAGAGATTAGCTAGAAGCCTTTCATGCGTGGTTCCACGGTGAGTCTGCTCCAATTGCTCCAATGGGTATGCAGTTCTGAGGTTCTGCTTTTGGATTTGCATTGCTCTCCGCTGTGAGACATTCAGGAATTGAATGAAGCTAGCGGCCTCCATGTTGCGTGTAACCGAACATCATCCCAAGCAGAAACCCGATCGAAATCGACAGAGCCCAGGGCTTAACTTCGCGCAAAACTTCCTGACAGGCTTCCCAGGACGCCAGGATAGCTGCGACCTCCTTCGTTGACCGTCGACGAGGGCGCCTAGTTTGCACCGTGCTTCAGTCTTTTTCAATTAATTGGAGTCTACAGCTGTGCACGTGCTGGTTCAGCTTCAATAATTCTTGCATGTCTCTGGCTGCGGCAAGGACAAGCTGGAATTGCACAATGTGGGTGAGTGTTGCTGTTGCTGTGTTTCCGCTCCAAGTATTTTCAAAGACAAAGCACAGCTCGCGCCGAGTTAAGCAGACTTCATCTGGCCCGAGCCTTCGGTTCTCCAGAATCCAGAAGAAGTCAATGGCTTAATGCACGAGACGTTGCACTGCAGCTGCGAGTTAAGAAGAGTGTGAACCCCAGCTCAAAAACCAAACCATCCCAAACCCTGCGACACTTCTGGGTGACCCAAGCTTAGACTTTCCAGTCTGGTTTGCACAGTGGTTTTGCGAGTCCAACTTGTTTTGTAGCACGCGAGGGGGTCTAAGGTCTAAGTAATACGGGCGGCGTGATGACATCCCTTATCATGATACATGCCACAATGCTTTTGTTCGTAAGGCCCTGGAACTATCTCTGTGTATATAATACGTATTATATATATGTATATGTATGTATATGTATGTATGCATGTATGTATGTATGTATGCATGTATGAATGAATGTATGTATGTATGTATGTATGTATGTATATACATACATACATACATACATACATACATGCATGCATGCATGCATGCA